CCCAAACAGCTTACAATTAATTCTGTATTAATACCTTAACCAAGGAACTACCAGAGGGAAAAAAACAAAACAAAACCCACACCCCCACCAACACCAACACCGGCAGCGTATGCCACAGTATATAAACAGAGAGCAAACCCCATTCCATTCTAGCACTGAGGAGGTTACCTAGCCGGGTAATGAAACATTTGCAAGAAAACAACCAAGCTCAGAGAACCCCAAGGACTTCATAGGAAGGAAGAGGATGTAGTAGCATGTGGGAATGACCTTGGGAGACAAGTGGAACAGCTGCAGACTAGACAATGGTCAAATAAGAGGCAGTTGAGCCCGCAGAAGGAACGTGGGTGAAACCAACGTCTCAGAAGGGACCGTCCCTAGTTTCTTGGACTGTAAAGGCAAGCAGGGGAGGTATGTACTTTCAGACTTGCAAGATTCAGTTGCTGTAACCTTACAATAAAGTTAGAACTAGTACTTCTGGGTGTGCTTCTTGTCTGGACTATCTCAAGGCTGACAGGGAGGAAGGGAGGAAGGAAGACAAGGAAGGAGGGAAGGACATGGGTATCCATAAGTAGTGTGAATATGAGTATTTGCAACCCCTAATATTTTCTTGTGCAGTTACCCCATTTTTTTAATACCAGTAGCAAAGTGTAAAGTATACATACTTAAGCGGTTGTTTATAACTCTCTACTGCCATCTAATTTCATGAGAATTACACATAGGGTGGCTTTTTGTTTAGCATTCTTTTCTGGTACTAGCAAAGCTAACTAAAAGAATTCTTTAAATCTTCTCTTTCCTAAAGTAACTTAGAGAAATCACATCTTCTCTCTCCACTTTATCTTCATCACAGTCTTCCAAAATAGGCCAGGCTAACAATGATTGGTCATGGTCACTCCCTGAGCTTGAAGGCTGAGCATGGATTTTGGAATAATTCTGAGAATATTTGTGTGAAACTTGTATAGTGGTATGTTGGACTGGCTAAATTTAAACTAATTTAGGATCTCTATTCTCAATGGGCACCCTTATCATAGAAGGCAAGAGGATGCTTTTCAGCAACAATTGAACAGGTTTATTGATTCAGAGTTCTACTACAACTGCCTCTTTCATATACTTATCATCCCATCAGCTTTCAACTTGAGGGCTGGGGAGCAAATACTAGCAACTATACCTAAGAGTAAATTAATTTATAGACACTGCTATTTGAATTATTCTTGAGAGGGAACCTGGGATGATGTTAAGGCCCAAGATATGTTTTTTGAGAGAGAGTTCACTAAGCAGTCGAATGAAAAGGTGAATTAACTTGTCCTTCTTCCCCCTCCTTCTTATACTACTCAACAGAACAATGTGCTGAACTCTGGCCAGCAATTTCCAATTAATCCAAATATATACATTATTACAATGTTGTTCCCAGTTTGGAACAATAGTTGTTGGGACAAATTATTTTCTTCTGATCTCCAGAACATTAACTTCAGATATCATCTTTCACAATGTTTTCATCCATCAGAATGAGCAGTTGGGCTGTTGATCACTAGGTCTCATTTCTTATATTCTAAAAGCCATTCTGCATCCATCTTTGGTAAAATAGCACAGTATTTTATTAAGTATTAAGACAGCAAGCAGGCACTCGAGCATTGCAAAGGGCAGGGGAGTGGATTGGAGGCAAACAAAAGCCAAAAGTGTGAAACTGTGTAGTCTTTTTTTTTAGATATATTTATCCCATCTTTATTATTTTTATAAATAACTCAAGGCAGTGAATATATCTAATAATCCTTCCTCCTCCTATTTTCCCCACAACAACAACCCTGTGAGGTGAGGTGGGCTGAGAGAGAGTGACTGGCCCAAGGTTACACAGCTGGCTTTCATGCCTAAGGCAGGACTAGAACTCACAGTCTCCTGGTTTCTAGCCTGATAACTTTACCACTAGACCAAACTAGCTCTTTTTCTAACTAGTCTTGTCTCTTTCCAGCCAGAAAGCACAGTCGCGGTCACATGATTTATCACTTAGCGACCGCTTTGTTTAGCAGCTGAGTTGCCAGTTCCAATTAGGGTTGTTAAGCAAGGAGCACCTGTAGTCATATTTGCAAAATGGATTTTCATGACTTACAACCATTCATTTAATGACCGTTTGAAGTTATGATGGTGCTGAGAAAAGTGACTTATGACCAGTCCTTGCACTTATGACCATCTCAGTATCCCCATGGTCATGTGATCAAAATTCGGGCGCTTGGCAACTGGCATGTATTTATGCCAGTTGCAGGGTGCTGGGGTCATGTGATTGCCATTTGCAACCTTCCCAGGGGCCTTCTGAAGCAAAGTCAATGGGGGAAGCCAGATTCGCTTAATGACCACATGATTTGCTTAATGACTGAGGCAAAAAGGGTTGTAAAATCAGGTGTGACTCACTTAGCAACCACATTGCTTAGCAACAGAAGTTCAAGTCCCAATTGTGGTTGTACGTTAAGGACTACCTGTATTCATAAAGGTTGCCTTCTGCTTTCTGGCCAAACATTATGCATACTTTCATATTTTGTCTTTGATTAATCCAAGTACCATCCCAACTTGTTGTATTGATCAAAGGTAATTTTGAAATAGTCAAAGACCTTTTCAGGATGGCTGCAGAAACCTTTGTCAAAAAGATATGGGGCCAAAATACGGGAGTGAAGAGCACTGGTCTCTATAGACAGGGTCTGATGGGGCACCAGGACAGTTGCCATATTCTGCACATGTGTACCATGGTGTCCATCGATGGCTGGTGTAGGTCTTCCAGGCTGTGGGGCCGTGTTCTGGAAGTTTTGTTGCCTAACGTTTCGCCAGCACCTGTGAACGGCATC